GATAAAGGGTCAGGACACTTGGCATCTTTACAAATTTTTATCATGCCTGATACTATGAGGACTGGTGGTTTATCATTTATTTGTCTGTCATATTAACTTGATGACGTAAAGTTTATATGTCACAGTTATGTATCTTAATAACAATCAGACTATATCAAAAAATGATTATATCATACTTCAAATGTAGCCATACTTCAGGGAACGGTTACAATGATATATATGCCATCCAGTACCACTCACTGTTCGCTTGAAAGGTGGCAGTAATAAGTTTGTAAGTTGCTCTTTCATGAAGCACAGAGGCTGTAGTCAGCGTAGATGTTCTTTAAAATGTATTACTGTGTATGTATGTATGTAGTGTTATGCATGTAAATGGTGTGTCTGTGCTTGTATAGTATACACACACACATATACATGCTCGGGTCCTCTACCAGAGGCCTGGGAGCTTGAGGGTCCTGTGCAGTACCTTAGCTGTTCCTAGGACTGTACTCTTCTGGACAGAGATCTCGAATGTTGTTCCTGGGATCTGTTGGAGCCACTCTCCCAGTTTGGGGGTCACAGCCCCCAATGTTCCTATTACCACAGGGACCACTTGTGCCTTCACCTTTCACATCTTTTCTAGCTCTTCTTTCAGCCCTTGGTATTTCTCGAGCTTCTCGTGTTCCTTCTTCCTGATGTTGCTATCACTTGGGATTGCTACATCTATCACTGAATATATTCTTATCAGTCCTGACCCAAAGGCAGATGCCACCAGTTTTGGTGCCTCTGCCCTCCCACTTTCCGATTCAGTGAAAAACCTCGGAATAATACTGGACTGTAATTTTAACTTTGAGAAGAAGATTAGGGCCGTAGTTAAGACTTGTTTCTTTCATTTAAGACTTCTAACGAAGGTGAAACCTTTTTTATCACATGCAGACTTGGAGATAGCCATCCACACCTTTATTACCTCGCGTTTGGACTATTGTAATGCCCTTTATGCTGGGGTATCTCAGTGTTTGCTCCGGAAATTGCAATTAGTTCAAAATTCAGCAGCCCAGCTTCTAGTTAATGCACCCAGGTTTGCCCACATTACCCTGATTCTCTGCTCCCTTCATTGGCTTCCCATCGAGTATAGAGTTAAGTTTAAGACTCTGGTATGCGTTTTTAAGGTGATCCACAGCCTGGCTCCGCCTTATTTGTCTGACATGCTATCAATGTACGTGCCACGAAGATCCTTGCGCTCTTCAGAACAGTTGTCTTTGGTTGTCCCGCAATCGCGGTATAAGAAATGGGGTGACCAATCCTTTGCTATTGTTACATGAATGGCATAGAACATGTGTGAATAACCGGTGAGCAGTCTGTACGTAAGGTGTGTGTGTGTGTGGCTGTAGGTGTGGTCGAGGGAGAGCGTGTGACGTATGGGCGTAGTAGACGAGAGGTCGGTATGAGCGGGTTGAAGAGAGTGAACCGAGTGTGAAAAGACACAGTGAAATTCAGCCGGAGTGGGCGATATTGTTCATGTTGAGGGAAAGTGACAATAAAAAGTTTGGTTTCCAAGGAAGTTGCCCGAGTGTTCTTGCTCGCTGCTAAAGACCACGGTGAAGGGAGATAACCCCGAGGCGGACTGCAGCCTCGGCCCTGGAGCAGACATCAGCCTCCCCTGCGCCACTGGACTACGGTTCTGGAGGCCGAAAGCAGGAACGGTTACACTATATATAGCCCCAGACTTTGGAATTCCCTTCGATCACAGGGAATGAAGGGATCGAAGGGAGGTGCGATCGAAGTCGGAACTAATGGTTTTAAAGTCGCCCTTAAAAACCTTTTGTCTTTAGGCAGGCTTTTGAGGCATAAATTGGCTTTTTTCTTTTACGGGTATGTTAACATGTATTGTTTTATGTTATTTTCTTAAATTTGCTCTGGGTTTCCTCTGGTTCTTTTTTAATTTGTTTTTTATATTTGCAATTTTATTTTGATTTAGTGATTTTACTTGTTTGTAGTTTTGTTCTGTTGTACAGCACTCTGGGCTCCTACGAGTTGTTGAGTGCTATAGAAATAAAGTTTATTATTATTATTATTATTATTATCACTACGGCCTTCTTCTTCTGTTTGTCCACCACTACTATGTCCAGTTGGTTGGCCATTACTAGTTTGTCAGTTTTTATCTTGAAGTCCCACAGGATCTTAGCTTGGTCATTCTCAACCACCTTTGGAGGTGTATCCCATTTTGACTCTGGGACTTCCAGCTTGTACTCGGCACAGATGTTTCTGTACACTATGCCAGCCACTTGGTTATGGTGTTCCATGTATTCCCTGCCTGCTAGCATCTTGCACCCCGCTGTTATGTGCTGGATTGTCTCAGGGGCATCTTTTCACAGCCTGCACCTGGGGTCCTGTCTGGTATGGTAGACTCCGGCCTCTAATGATCTTGTACTTAGAGCCTGTTCCTGTGCTGCCCAGATTAGTGCCTCTGTGCTGTCTTTCAGTCCAGCTTTGTCCAGCCACTGGTAGGATTTTTTGATATCAGCCACTCCTTCTATCTGACGGCGGTACATACCGTGCAGGGGTTTGTCCTTCCATGAAGGTTCCTGCTCTTCCTTCCCTGACATTGGGTGAATGGTCCACCCTGGACAGGTCACCAGTCTACTACAGGGCTAACATGTAGACAAACAGCCACACACACTTACATTCACTCTTAGTAGGCAATTCAGAGTCACATCAACCTAAGCTGAATGTCTTTTGACTGTGGAAGGAAGTCGGAATATAAACATAAAGTACAACTGAAGCCAGGTCATTAAGGTCATTAACCTACAGTGTAAACCCTAGAGACATGTTGCTAGCATGGCTAAAAAAATAAGTTTGGAGTAGCACATTTATTTAAGATAAAAAGATGAGAAGAATAAGATATCTCACAGAGGAGGCAGCTGTTTGTCAGGGAGCAAATCATTAAAGCACAACAGGAACCCAGATAAGCAGACAGGTCAGGAACAGGCTGAATGATCAGTAAAGAAGCCAAAACAGAAAACTTCAGGAAGTCAGCATTTCTTGTAGGCAAACAATGCAAGCACCTGTTAACAAGCTCAACAGGGTCATGTCCATGGTTCAGGCAGCATGGTATCATTTTAAAGCTACACTAATCAATATTTTGTTATGTAAATAATGGACTAAGAAGCAAAAGGGGTCACATGTACACAGCCACTAGTAAATACAGTACAACCAACTATCCAGCAAAAGCAAGCTGATTTCATCGAGAACATTCTGCTACACAAACAGAAGACAAAGTTAACAACAAGTGACATTAACGCTGTATAACAGCTAAAGATCCAAATATACTGTATTTCTCAGAAGTGGCTGAAGTCCAAAAAAGCAGAAAAAGTCATTAAAAGAGCAACATAACGTTGCATTACATTATTAGCCACTTTCATCCTCCACAATCACACAAAACATCTTTTGTATTTGTCACATTAATAAAAAAAAATCAGACATTGTAGGCAAGCAGGAAGTCCTACAGTCTGGGAGGATTTACCGACCTTCCAGCAGATAGCTTAGCTTCAGCAACAACATAGTTCTAGATGACTCCTGGCTAACATTAGCCAGCCAGTTATGAACACACATCATGAATACGACAACTATGAAATTAACAGAAGATGCATTTCTTCTCAATGAACCATTGCCTCAGTCATCATACCTCAAGCAACCACGTCCTGGACCAGCCTGTCCGCTGAACATGGAAAGCCAAACTGATATCAACCCACCATACAGCAAATTGTTGAAAAAATGTCAAAGTAAAGGAGCTATACTAAAACATGTCATTGTAATATGATTACTAAAGGTCCACTAATAATCCCTTACACTACTCTACTGAAAAAACCTATGACATTACTTTAACCCTGCCCAACACTAATTAACCTCAGATATTTGCACGACACACACTGGCAATACATCCTGTTCTGTTCAGCTTGTTTATCCACAGATTAAACAAGTATGTGTCCAGAAATGAACACACCCTACCTGAATGTAAGTTAGCATTAAGGAGAGTATGACTGACATCATGGCTCATGTTGTAAATGTTGTGCTAATCTTCACACATGCGATGGCTGTTATCATAGTGTTTAATAAAATTAAGACCACAAGCAGAGGGTGTGGACAGAGCCCTACTGATTCATTGGGAAGCACCAGAACTTTGATGACTACGTTCTCATCTAACAAAAGAGCACATCTAATGTTAAACATATGGCCGAAGCCATAGATTCAAGCATGACAAAATGCAGAGTGTGGAAAAATACTGCTGCAGTTGTTTTTCTCTCCTAAAAATTTATGAATGTCTCTTTATGTCCTGGATGTTTTTGCTGGTTGGAATCTTTTTTTTACATTCCCATAACATTATACATGATCTGTAAATGCTATTTAACAAAATGATTTAAAAAAAACCTGAACAAAAAAAACAGGAGCTTGTTCCAGATAGTAAGCATATTGTTTGATTCCCTGTGAGAACAACTGGTATGACCAAGACTTGCAAGGCTCTGTGTGTGTATACTTTGGGCTCTTGTGTCAGTACTGTACTGTATATTGTAACTGCCCCAGCTAATACAGATCAAACCTGTATTGAAAATTTAGAAGTAAGGTTCTGCAGAGAAATTATGTTGTCATGTGCTAAAAAGGTTCTCACAATACAATTTTAGTAATATACTGCCTCTAATTCAGGATTCCAACAATTTTGTTCCGACTCAGTAACATCATCTTGGCTGTCCTCAGAGAAATTCTGCAAACGTGTCACTTGAAGGAGTGGAAAAGCAAGCTGGGTGTTGCATATATATTTGGACTACAAGGTGTTGTTCATTTGTTTTATCTATCCCACTTTTTGTGTTCTCTACCTCAATTTATTTGTACTGGCCACAGCCACATCTGAGTCGGCTGTAGCATGTATATATTTAAACAAGGGCTGTGTAGAAGGAAGTGTTTGACTAAACTCTGGTTGGGTCTCAAACATTTAAACACGATTCTGCCCATAGGGACAAGATGTTTACCTCAGCTGGTTCTCTTCCCGCTGCACAGGCCGCCAGCCTCGCTCTGCACTCCGCACTCTGGAACAGCCAACATGAACACAAACAGTCAGAGAAGAAGACTGTGATACTGTAGGTATAGAGAGAAACAAAGACAGGGCAGTTGCAGGAAGTAAACAAACTGATAAACAAACAGAGAGAAACATGTGTAAGGAAAAGACAGATGGAAACAAAAAGGGTTCAGTTTCACAGAACTTTATCATCTTACAGGATGCACACACTCTGATACTTTAGCCACTGACCTCTTGTATACAGGAGTGGGGGTGGAGGCAACAAGGGCTCTGCAGGCCCCATCTGCACGGCTTGTCCCTGGCTATGTGGCCATGTGCAGCACCTGGCCCCTCGCCAGCACTCACCGCCCCTTTGTGGTGGCCAGAGTGACCGGTTTGGGTCTGCCTTTGATCCCGGGCCAACTATTCATCTCTAAAGGAAGAGGAAGA